ATTTAGCTTCACCATCTCATGTCTGGTTCCTTACAAACAAGATGGCGACGACCAAAATGGCAAACTCTTCAGGCTTCTAAACGGCAGTCCACACACAAATGGGTGACATCACAGTGACTACTTCCACCTCTTATGTACAGTCTCTTTCATAGTGTGGCTGTAATGAACACTGCAGTACTTTCCACTGTTTCCCACAATTCATTGAAGTCTCCCTCCCTCACCATTTCACACGCACGCACACACACACACACACACACATAATTGACCCTAGTGACATGAATACTAATCAAACGGTGTGTTTGCTTTTGTATCAAAACTTTATTTATCAAACAAAAAGAATGCACCATTGAAATAACATTTCTATAAAAAAGGACCATGGGACTGTTCTACAGTGCATTACAAAACCAGCAATTGTATACAACATTGTGGATAGAAACTTCGCTCTACTTCATCATCATCATCCTTATCATCATCATCATCTTTTCTCCCCCTCACTCAATTGAACAAAATCTACACTCTTAAATATTGCAGTCACTAAGCTAATTTGGTTATAATGACTCTAGGATTGGACATTTTTTTAAAGGGCAAAGTCAAACTGTATTTACTCGGAGGAGTCTGTCGAACAACGATGTTCTGGAAATGAAGTAATTGTCTGTGTGAGAGGAGATAAGAGCCGTTTTAATTTGACCCCTTTCACCCTGACGAGATGAGGTCCAAATCTTTTAAAACATATTTCTACCCCCATTTTTCTCTTTTGTAAGCTGTCGGCCAGAAACTCTCTGCGCCGGAGCTGACAGTCGATTTCACAGCAACATCAGGCCACTTTCAAAGTCAGCACATCCCTGACCAACTTCAACTTGGTCTTTTTTTTTGTTTGACCGTGTAATTTGTCCCCTTTTTGATCCTCAATGGTTCCCACACAGGAGGGAAGCACCCAAAGAAAGAAGTTAATGAAGTCTGAGTTTCCCTTTGAAATGCGGGAGCCGAGCCTCCCTCCCTGGTTTCCACCTTTTCAGGTCTGGTTGGTGTTTCTGAGTTTCATACAGTCACCACAGGTACAGTTCACAAGGCTGTACAGATAGAGGACGAGGTGTTTTTAAAGGACCATCCTGGTGTCCCTCTGCACGTTGTAGTCCGTTAACAACAAATCATGTTTTACTAACTTGTTGACTAGAAGTTGTGATGGATAAAATGAATGAAAAATGAAGGACACCTCATCTCCATTCAGGCTGCGCCCTCTTTTCCCAAATTAGGATCTCCGGTGTGCCAGATGGCAGTTGAGGTACTAAACCTATACTCCTCTGATATTATATACAGGTTATAGTTAGAAAGGATAACTGCATAGATGCCATCAATCTACATATTCTTTGAAAATAAACAAAAGGGGTGGTGGTGACTGTGTGTCCTCAGAGTGACCTAGTTTGGTGACAAACTATTGAAATATTTTTGTGATGAACAATTTAAATGTTTCATTAAGAAATAGAAAATAATATTTCTACAATAGTATTTTTAAAAATACTAAAACCTTTTAATTAAGGCAACGAACGAAAAATAATAAAAATTTGAGTGGCGCTTCAGTCCTCTTTTTCATTTTGTTCTTTGCTAAACTAAATCTACAGAAATATCACATGGTTATAAATAATAATGTCAAAGAGCACTCAAAATAAGGTAATAATGGAATAATAATAATATATTAAATTTGATTATAAAAAAGTTACTACTACTCTAGTTGGAACTGTACACTGTAAAAAAGCTGCATTCTGTAATGTAGTTCTGCTGCACTGTAAAATACACATGTAGAGCTAACGAGAAAAATAACATCTGGCTGTTAGAGGCCGGGGTCCGACTGTGGGAGGGAAGCCTTTGTGTCAAAGACGGAGACGAGAAGTTTGATTCACTGATTCACTGTGTTTAACAGAACAAAATAAATAATCTCTGCTGATTACAAAGCCCCTTCTAGGTCCCTTTTAGTTCCCTGTATAAAAAGCTAAACTTTTACTTCATGGTTGACGGAATGAAACTGGATATTTTGTATTTGACTTGCGCTGAATGGTGGACTTTTAGCATCAGGCTTTCAACTAACTCCAATTTATAACCACCCCGGTCATTAGTAGACCTCAGAGCAACTATAAAGTAAGGTAAGTAAGTATAAAGGGCAAGAAAGTCAAAATCAGGAGGACAGTTGGGTCAAACAAACACAGGACTTTCACCCAGGAGACCGCTGTTTCTGTAGTGTACTCATCTCAGGTATGACTCACACTTATGTTAACATAAAACCCAAATGTTTTCCTAAACTCTGCCAAGTAATTTTGTTGCGTAAGTGAACATAAAAATGCAGTATACATACGTTGGAATATTATTTTGATACTGACACGCCGTCCCTCACACAAAGCTGACACTAGAGCGGAACCTAGAAGATCATAATTTGAAGCGGAGGGCCACGAGTTGGGAGTGAGAATGTGGAGCATTTCTTTTTGGGAGTATGGTCATTCTGTCTCTGTTCTGGGATCAGTTGAAGACACATAGCAGTAGTTTTTGTTTCAGTTAATTAACTTCAATTGACATACTTGTACTTTACATTTTCCAAATCGTCCCGTCAGTTTTCAGATGAATTGTCTTCCCCTGGAGTAGCCATTGATTTCAGTCATTGCTATGAGCTATAAAACGAACTGAGCACATCTATCTGTTGACACATCTGAATTCTTGCCAAGGTTACATTGCTGCTGTGCGGTGATGCAGTAGCTATGAAGGCAAATCACTGTCAAAATCCGAGAGCGCAAATGAGATCCATTGAGATCCGCAAATCAAACAGCCGTGCGCGTATTTTACTTTGACGAGCGCTTTTATATCACTGCGCGAGCGAAAGTCATATTGAAATATTGTCATATTTCACAGGTTGTGGGTTGGTAGGCCCTCCAGATAGTTTTTCATGATATGTCCCGTTTAACATTCATTGACCAGTAGTAACTGAGATTGTTATGTTAGTCTAAAAACCAAATGTGTTTCTCTTCCGTTTTATCTCATCCAAGTTTTAAGCTAAGTTTTAACCCTCTGCAAGTGTATTTTAATATTACTGACATAGATGAATGGCTGCCAGGTAGGAAGGAACCCAAGAACTGATGGTTCATTTAGAAAAGAATACTTAAAGAATGATTTAATGGACTAAAATGTGTACCGGTACGACCCTTTCACTCTTATTATTTTCATCTTTCTTTCCCTTTTTCGATGCTGAAAAGAAGAAATCTCTTGTGTCAACAGGCCATTGCATTTAGAATTTACTGTTGAAATCCGATTTTCTTCCTTTAAATCCAATTTCGGTTCATTCCATCTGCCCGCCGCTCCGCTCCGCTCGCTGAGGGAGGACGTGAGAGCGCGACTCTGGAGAAGCATGAAAGAGGTTGGCTCGAGACCGAATGTATCTCCCGGAACACGCTGATGAGTTTGATCCCCACGCCGCTCGCTTGTCTGTGTTCGCTCACCTCTCATCTCCCCCCGCCCCTGCCCCGCGCTGGTTCTGTGGAGAAGTTACCTTTCCGTCCCCTCCATTCGCGGGACTTTTCCCCCCGCAGCCGTAACAGCCCAGCGAGCGTGAGCTTGAATCATAATATTTGAAACGGCGTGATAATGAATTCCGGGCCTCGTTCCTCCGTGCCCTAGCTCACATATACAAACCAGCCATGAATATCAATTCCCCTCCTCTGCCTCTGCTCTCTCCGTCTCCCTCGGGCTTTTTTTCCCGTTTCATCACAGAAAGATAAAGGTCTGAAAATTCCAATATGGTGACTGGAGTGACACAGTCAATATGGAGCATACTGATGGCCAGTTTTTCTTCTTTTTTTTTATCCCCTCAGCTGATTAATGAATCATTTGTCCTTTTAAGCTCCTGCCTTTCCGTGCTCTACCCAAAGAAACATCCCGACCCATTCAACCTAATTCCCCAAATCACATTCTGCTCTCCTGGCTGACGATACAAATCTGCTTTGCTTCAAAGAAGTGTGAGGCAGATGCTCTCCGTCCTGACCTCATGTTGTAGAGATTATCCTGAAACCATAACACCGCAGGTCAAACAAACAAACAAAATAATAACTGGCACAAAACATTCTCTTCAAACCAGTTACAATTAAAACTTTAAATGAAAATTAAACTTTTTCTGATGCGTTCAAAGGCTTATGAATTTTCACGATGGGTCTCTGTGGAAATGTGTCCGATAAAACCTGGTTTGAAAAAACACCGTTCTGACAGGACAGCGAATGTAAAAATATACTTTGTGGAATATGCCTCATTTGTGTTTGCTTTTGTCACTTTTTTTTTTTTCTCTTTTTGTATAAAAAAAAACAAAAACGGAACGCCCTGAAGTGAACTCAGAGTGAAGCTGGCGGTTTTGCAGTTTTATCCCATGTGGGCGATCGAGGTCAACAGAGGTACGGTGTGTTTCATGAAAAATAAATATGGGTTCATCAAAAGCAGGGCCCCGAATACAACGCGCTCAGCTTCAGTCAAACATACTGAAACGGCACAAAGTGAAAACAACGGCAGAGCTCACTCTCATTATCATCATCATCAACATCAACATCATCGGCTCCCCACTAACATCTCTAATCTCATTAATAATAATAATAATCATAACAACAACAAAAATTCCACTACAAATGACTTGATTCTTGATCCTGTTGCCGTAAAACCTTCACAATTCATTCCTCCACCACAGTCATTTCTCAAGAAAGCGCTGTGATAGTTTTGTGATCTTAGCATCGAGATCCAGAGATAACAGTTCAATTATTCATTGAGGTAACAAGCTCTTGTAATCATGACTTCATTATCTCTTTCTCTCCATAGCATATCAAGTTTTGCCAATGCTGCAACCGGCTTTTGTGAACACATGAACAGGTGTCCCAGAAGCCAACAACAGTCTTCATGTTATTTTTCCATATTTTGCAGACTGTAATCACTCTGCAGTTCTCCAACCAGCAGTTGGCTGGGGGGGGGGGGGGGGGGGGGAGGGGGGGGGGGAACGCAATGCACTACAGTAAAACGTGACAAACTGTGAACAAGGTGTGACCGAATTTGATCGCGTTTCTCGGCTCATTGCTCGTCATTGGCTTCCAGTCCATGGTTTGGGACTGAGACAGATTTAAACAAAGGAGCAAAAAACAAAGACGGTTTACAATATGTTGTCCAAGGTGAGAATTTGGCACAAGTCCTCGTAGGTAAGGATCAGAGTTCATCTGGGTTAGGCAGAGTAAAGGCTTGGTCAAGAGCAGCAGCAGCAGACTGTGGGAGTCTATCGAGGTTTCTATACAGTCCTGTAAAGAGTAGAGTCAGCTGGATCGGATCAAGGCCATTCAGACCCCATTCTATCCAGCCACATTTGTAATCCCTTCATTCTTTTTTTTTTCAAACCTCCTAATCCAGAAGTGGATGAGCTGCATGGGTTATGAGTGATGCTTTGCTTTGTAAAATCATACTGTTTTGAGAGGGAAAAATGGGAGAAAAAATAGACGAGAGATACGAGGATAACCTTGCGTAACGGGTGGACCTCGGATCCAGCTGAGAAAACGGTTTCGGTGAAACTTTGGCGGCTGGGGATGTTTTTTCTATTTCTTACTATAGGTTCTGGTGGCACTTTCAAACCATATGCACATCCTGTAACTGCACAAAATTGGGATACCCCTCCAAAACAGACAAAATGAATACTTCCAACAGCGATCATGAGAAACAAGTGAGGTACGGTCACAGTAACTGAGTTGCAGATAACCCAGCGGAGGACGCTAATAAATACCACAAAGAAGAGTAACTTTTTTTGTTGTGAAGATCGCATCATCCTGCGTCATGAAGCCGAGGTGCTAGTTCTCGGGTTTTTCTAGTTTTCTGTTTGAGGTTGAAGAGTCTCAGGGGTCTCAGCCCCTCCACCCTCATCCTGTTCTTTGAGCTGATGCTGTGCTGCTGTAGTGTTTTTTACTCCGTTTGATTCCCTTCCATCCTTTTCCCGGTCCCAAACAGTAGACACTAGCCTAAGACCAGCAGAAACCAAACAAACTCAACCCAGCACGGACCTCTTCAAACCCGGATTGACCTCAGCATATGCCACGCGGGGGACATCAAGGCTTGAAGAATGGTTCCAGACTGGACCGTGGCCGAGGGTTGGGCTGGGGACGGTATCATGGGTTAGAAGGCGGAGCCGGTGATGGCGTTGAGCTGCTTCATCAGCCCTTCTAGACTGGCCATCTGCTCCGACAGGTCGTCCTGCTCGTAAACCTACAGAGAAAAAAACAAGAGTAGAGCAGGTTAGGCAACCGTGAGCTTTACAAAAAAAAAACTCCTGAATATCAACGTGGTTTTTAATAGCTATATTAAAATGTAAAATGGTAAATGGACTTGCACTTGTATGGTGCTTTTCTAGTCTCTCGAGGACTCAAACTGCTTTAACACTACATGTCATCATTCACCCATTCACACCCATTCATACACTGATGGCAGGGGCTACCATGCAAGGTGCCACCTGCCCATTCATACCCAAACATTCACCAAATGCACAACATTCGGGAGCAATTTGGGGTAAAGTGTCTTGCCCAAGGACACATCGACATGAACTAGGCTGGACCACGGACCACCACTGAGCCACAGCCGCCCCCTCCTTTGAAGCCTTTTTGATTTTGTTGCGTCGCAGAGCGATACGGACGTGAGCAGCATTTGCGAGCAGCATTTGCGAGCAGCATTTGCGAGCTATTAACTCAAAAACCTTGTCTTGATTCATAATAAAAAAATGTATTAGTTGGTAGATTAAGCGAATAACAAAAAAAACAACTGACTGATTCAGGCTCATTCTGGATTTTTCAACCGAGACAAATGGATGTCTTTTGACCTGTCAATCACTATACGAGTGCTAACTGCCATCCCTGGGACACCCACAGTTTACTATAATGACATAGTTGATGCCATTGGTTGGAGGAACGTCATCGCCATCTAGTATATAGCCTTCTACAAGGAGTTATTCAGGAACAACTTATTAACCACTCATTCATTCATCAGGCCTTTCTCGATTCATTTTCTAGTTACTACTCACATTTTTTGTTCTGTAATGTAGAGTATGTTTCTATGTTTCTCCTTCATTCACTGACTTCATTAAGTTTAAATACTAATCTTTAGAGGAACCTAATCCATCACAATGAACGTCGTGTCTGTTTCTGCCAGAGTCCGACTTTTCAACCCACACTTACAACTGAAGAAAACAAAAGGTGATTTTGCGTTGAGTGTGATGGATCATCTATCAGCAGTTGAACTGAACTGAAACCAGCGACTGCCTGGAGGAAAGGATATCAAAATCACAAGTCGCAACGGATGATCGAGAATGCAAAGTTCACAGGAATGTTTCGTAAAGAAATGGGGATAATAGCACAATATTCATAAACTGTGTCCCGTCATAGTTAGACAACAGCTTGCCTCCGAGTCGACCGCATCAAATGTTCCCAAGGACGGGACACACTGACAGCGTGAGCGTCTGTACTCTGATCCTGCACAGACTCTGTGATCACTGCGTAATGGCGTGTTCGGTCCGGCTGTATAAACTGTCCCCTCTGAGTGGGGCCAGCTTAAGTGCCTCCGTCTCTGTGTGTGACAGTCAAGTGCACATCTCTCACACACACACACTCACACTCTCTCAGTGTGTTCTATTGAGCGTGGCCTTCATGCAGAGTTTGTCTTTGCAGTTGGAAAAAAAAATAATTCAATATTCTCCTTGGCATACTGTGGAAAACCAGTCAGTGGCCGAGGCCTTCATTATGCTGCACTGATTCTGCTTAAATATCACCTTAGAACTCAAATGAAAAAGTTGCTTATTGAAGGACTGTTACTAAATGCAGGCACTATAAACATGCTAAAAGGAAAAATACAGATATTGTGTTTTTCCAGCCCTGTCCCCTAAAAATGACATTCCCATTCAAGACATTTACATACAGAGTTACATGACTAACTGACAAATTGTGTTTAACTTTAACAACTTCAGATTCCTCCTTGATGAAGTGAAGCTAAACTAAGCTGTTATTGGAGGAGCTGTGCCTAATTTGGAGTACTGAATTCAGTGTTTTCAAGCAAATGTCAATTATTGATCATAAAATGATTAATAATCTTTGTGTGTGGCCTATAAAGGGTAGACCTCAGCAAAACAGTGGAAACAGTTGAACAGTTATTGTCATCATTTTACTTTTGAAAAGTCTAACTGTTCAGCCTCCTACGGCATACTTTTATTTTGAAATTACGCACTTTTGTGATGTCTCCCAGATTGTAAAATATAGATATCAGTCTGTCTGGTCAGATTAAAAGCTTTAACAGGGCCGGAGTCGTGTTGGATCAGCCTTCGACCGCTGTCTGCCTCAGGGCAACTGAACCTCTGGTCAATTATAGATTTTTAGATTCGCCCCCATTTAGAGCATCAGTGGGGCCCAATCAGGTCGCAGTAACAGTTAACAAACTTCCTGAATCCACCAGCGGCAGCCAGTTCACCAGTTAACATCTAACAGACGTAATCATTTCACAGTCGAAACATATTGAATTGGTAATCCACCGAAAGCTTGCGCTCTCTCTCTCTTTTTTTTTTTTTACTTAGAAATACCAAATTGGTGACAAAATATTCTTTGGAACTTCAAAAATCAGTTTGTATTTAAATTGTATATAGTTTTAATTTGTATGAACTGTGTTTTTGTAACAACACTGTATCACACCAACAGTTCCCCCTAAAGACACTGGACACTGCTCCAGAAGCACACTATTTCAAATCCAGCAAGAAGTGCAAGACTTTACTCATAGTTGCTCATCAGTACAATGTTCAAATTTTCCCAAATTTGGTAGGCGGGTCCAGTATGGTCTTCAGCGCTGACATAACAAACTTGGTGAATATCCAATAATATTTAACTTTGTGACGCTCTTCGCTTCTATTATTTTCCTTTATTGTCTGTTGTACCTTTTGACTGGGAATGCCGAGGTCATCTAATCTACAGTAGAGTTTAACTGGTGGCTGCTGTATCTGTCTTTAAACACAATTCACAATGTTGCTTATTACAGATTTGAGTTCTTATTACATTTAGGAACTAATTCTTATTACAGTTACTTATTACATGGAAGTAATGTTTTGTATAAAGCCTTTGAAAGCACCTTGTCTTCGTCCGTTCTGAGACAGACGGGAAACCCCCACAGTGTGGCTTTTCAACAGTTGACATAACTCTCCGACTGTAGATTCCTGTTATACCAAGTGAAAGGACTGACAGCACCTGCACGGCTGTCCTTTATCTGTGTAACACACAGACAGTGCGACCGTTTGACCTCCTTCTTTCACTCTGAGTGAGGCCATAAAACCTCATCTGAAGCCCCGCGCCGCCAGGTATTTTCCATCTTCCCCCGGACAAAAAGGCTTCTGCAAAAATCACAACTGCGTGTAAAAATCCAGCGACCTCCAGATCTCATTTGTTGACCCGTAACAGCAGAGTTTATCTGAGGTGGTAAATGCTTCATCAGTGGGATAAAAACACCCGTCGATGATCTGTGTTTCTCTCCGATATCCTGTTATCTCTGTCGGCCTGCTGACCTGGATTGACGCTCCGCTATAATCCGTCGGAGATCCATCCCGACACAGCAGAGCCAGAAGAAGAGCACATTCAAACTCTGACACGGATAAACCACAGAAACTGTGTTCACATGTCTGGAGGTTCTCTGTGCACATACTTCAAATACTTCCTTGATATGAACCACCACTGAACCGCTCCACATAATAAAGTGAGAGTTTGCTTGACATGGTCTTATGTTAATGTATACAGGGATGGTCTACAGGCTTTCTGCTGAACTAAGCCAAGGGTCAACATGCAGAATATCCCGTTACCGGGGAAAGCTGGTTCTGAATCAGAACTTGTTCTGAAACGGCTCATGTTATGGAGGTTGCATTGACTTGCATTATGGTGCGTTCAGGTTACACGCGAAGGTTGACTATAATGGTATCACGATGTGTTCGAATGCAAGCTTCTAAAATGAAGTTTTGTGGAGAAGCTTGAACAGATACAGTCGGTTGAAGGAAATGTTTTCACAACAATATACATTTGATATTACAAATTAAATTATGACCTGTCCAATATCATAACACTAGTTCTAAGCAGCTTGTATGACATAATTAAAATTACTAATAGATTATAGATATTTTTAAGTATTTAAAAAAAAAAAAAACTTTAATAATTGGAGTTCATTGTTTTTTCTATAGATGACAACAACAAAGTAAAAAGGTAATATTTCAAATTTGAGAGAGTTTATACTGACTTTGGGGTTGGTGGAAATTATTTATTCGTTAGTTATAATCTAAATATAGCATACACTTTAAATGATATTGATTTTTTTTAGGTATCTAAAATATATTTTTGAAGCTTCCGTCCCCCTCCACAGCAATACATTGCTTTGATCCTGTGCTGGTACTCATGTCTGTTTCTCCAAACTCTATCTAACACACCGACTATGGAGAAGTGCCTCATACAACCACACAAAAATACAAACTATCCCTTTAAGGCCAATTTATATTTCTGTCCTACTCATAACATGGAAAGCTGGCATGGCGGGACTAACGCACGCACACACTAGATGTTGGTGTTCACTCAGTCTGTATCGGTCACTCACACGTGTTTAAGTGTAGAGATGAATTGTTACTGACACTGTAGCAAGGATGAATGAGAGATGGTTGAAGAATCACATTGTTCTATTCAGTTTAAACTTTACTCCATGTCTCTGATCTGTAATGTTACGTTTGTGTCCCGGGAGACACTGTGCTGTTTTAAACAATGCTGCTGCTCTAGAAACAACATTTTGTTCTTTAAAGGTATAAATAAAAGTTAATTCTGTTCACAGAGCATAAAGTGGTGTTTTCTACCTGGAGTTTGGCTCGGGCATGTTCCAGTGGTCGGCAGCAGTGTCAAAATAAGATACTGACAAGTTTTGTGGGTTTGGACTCAGAGGCAGCCTGATATATCCTCGTCTTCTGTCCCAGTAACAGAAGATTTGAAAAGAAAAAAATACCTCTCCTAATGTGCTCCTTGAATATGTATCACTGATGTCACAACATCATGAAAGCACCGTTGTGTTGTACTTATATCACTCACACTGTGTGACACAATTATTAATTAGCTGCGTTTACGTGTGTGTGTGTGTGTGTGTGTGTGATATGCCAGAGGGCTGATGGGAAAAGACTAGATCAATTACAGAGATAGAACAGCAGATGAAGAGAAAGACCTGTTGACCTTTAACCCCCCCCTCTCCCCATCTCTCCATCTCATTTGCTCCTCTCCTCCTAATCAATTTCGTTGCTCCTCTCACCGACTCTCCTCTCTCTCCCATCCTCTCGTTTCTTTCCTCTCACCCCCCCACCCTCCGTTCATTACCCCCTTCTTCGCCGAAGTGTCCTTCTCATCCTGTTCTCCTCCCTTTCACCTCCTCCTCTTCTCTTCTCATTTATTTCCTGCTCTTTCCCTCCATCCTTCTTCCTCCTAAAGCATCCCTCTCTTCCTGTTGCTACGGCAACACCTCCTGCTCCTCTACCTTTTTTCTCCCTTGTACACCTCTCCTCTCCTTGTTTTGCCTCCTTTCCTCTCCTTGTTTCTTCTTCCTCTCCTCCTGTTTTCTCTTATCCTCCCTCCTTTCTGCTCTTCCACATTGTGTCTTCTCCTTCGCCCAGTCCCTCCCCTCTCTCTCTTCTTTTCATTTCCTCCTCTGTCCTCTCCTCTCTTCCCGTTGCCGTGGCGACGCCTCATCCCGTCCTATTGTCATTGAGTCCCATATGAATATTTAACAAGTCCCAACGTCCGGCGTCCCTCCACATCATGTTCTGTCGTTTATCTTGCTGCTTGTCATCCTCTGGCTCCCCCTCCTTCCTCTCCTCCCCTTCCTCACCCTTTCCTTTTATTTATTTTTTTTATTTATTTTTTTCTCACACCCTTCCCCTTCTGTTTCCCTTCCTCCTGCATCGTATTTGTCTCTCCTCCAATAACCCTCCTTCTTCTCCCTCATTTCCATTTCTCTTCTTCCTCTTCCTTCTGCATATTTTTCCTCTGCCCTATATCCTTCCTCCTCCCTCTTCCTCCTCTTCTACACCCATCCTCTCACCCCCCGATTCCTTTCTCTCTCCTTCTCCTTCATTGTCCTTTATGGCTCTTCTCCTCTCTTCCTCCATCTCTTATCCCCCCGCCTTCTCCGTTTCTTTCCCCTTCCTCTTCCTCTCCTCAGTCTCAGTCACTAATGAACTCTGTTTTATTCTACAGCTGAAAGGCCACCAGCACACTGAAGGGAAGGAAACAGGTGTAGTGACAAAGCTGAGCAGGTGTGTGTGTGTGTAACTTCCTTCCTCTCCCTCTCTCTCTTCCTCAGTCTGTTCAACCCTCCATCTGCTTTTCTCTTCTTTTTGTCTTTCTATTCTTCTCTATTCCAGTCCTATTCGTGTCCTTAGATGCTGATGTACTGGGCGGGTCGATATACTGAAGATATCGGTACAGAAATACCAAAGACATGTTTGATGTCGTCTAGTGTCTTGACGACTTACGCCCTCTTTACGCCTTGCATTCAAATGTGTTTTAGGTGATTGGATCACAGTCGAACAGTCGAACAGTGCTTGACCACATGGAAGTACAATTGTGTAAATGCAACCAAAATGCATTGAGGACTTGTTGTGATCGAAGCAGCTGACAGAGACGCATTGTGAACACTAGGGATGCCCCCTGAAGTTACTGGTTCTATCGGTACTTTAGAAGTTCTCTCCGTCTCTTTGTCTCTGGCTCAGTACAGCGTGAGACAAGAGAGAATAAACAGTAGATGCTGAGAACTCTGGTTGTCTCAAACACAATACAACCCTCACAAGTAAGAGAGGAACCAGCAGCAGTTTATCACAACATGTGACCAACAAGCAGAACACCAGTCTGTTTGTGGAGCAGGTAACGTTAGTGGCTCCTTGTATTGCTGCTTTTTGTATACATACAAGAATAATAAACCAATATCGATTGTTTTCTTAATTAATTGTCAATTTTTTTCACCAAAAAAAAAGAACACGATAAGAGAATCGATAAGGAACCGAACCCATAAGCAGTATCGATAAGAGTACTATAATTGATAAAATCATAACGATACCCATAGTGATCACATTGAACACAAGTTTAAATACAATCACGTTTCTAATCCACATTCAGGAGCGATGTGAGCGGTGGTGGTGTCACGGGTCGACACACAGCGTTACGTGAGCTAACTAGACAATAGCACAGGTTGAGGCGGGAAGGTCAGAAATAGACAGAAGCAGAATTCCGAGGAAGTTATTAATAAGTCACAGAAACATTTACTGAAATAGTTCACCTTTCGCCTTCTGTTTGTCTCTCTCGCACCACGGCCCTCAGTCCTCGTCTCCATCCACACAATTGTGGAACTATAACATAGTTGGCAGGTTGGGTTCAGGTGTTTGACTAATGCTAACGTGTGTGTGTGTGTGGGGGGGTAATACAAACTCAGACCCACTCATCACTAGTGGGCTTGAGCTGGACAAAGCGATCGGATTTCAATATGGACACTGGGGACATTAATATCAGGTGTGAATGTATTCAGGTTACATCATATCTAGAGCCAGTCTAGATAAAATATGTGTTTTGATGCCGGTGTAAAGGGGGTAGTTGTTTGTTAGGTAGAGAACACTGACACAGTTATTCAACTGAATATTGTCCCATTTTGAGCATATCTTCATCATGATTTTGATTAGATTTCTGGGAGGGAATAAGCATCCACTATTCCCCATGAAAGAGAAAATACAACCACAAATTAACCTCATTTTGTGACAGATGTGTTTTTTATTCCCTTCTATCCATTTTAATCACATTGGGAACTCCAGGATTTATCTAGCGACCCTTTTTGGGGGGTCTACCGCAGGTTGGGAACCAAAAGGTTGGACGGTCTGCTACTTTGCTTCAGTTGGAGCCAAAGATTTTAGAGGTTTTCTACTTTTGCTCCTCTACATTTACTGTAGGAGGGAAGTGTTACTTTTTACTCCGCTACATATATCATTCATTCTCAAATATTGCATAACCAAGTCTCCATTTGACTTCTAATTTCCGCTGTTTTAAAGAAATCTGATCGTATTTTAAAGGAAGCCTGTTTTATCCGTTTAAATGTAATTAAAGCAAACACCTCCATGTTTTCCTGTTGTGTTGATATATATATAGTCATGTCACACTACTCCTTTGCTGCTCTCACTCTTTTACTTTTCACTGTTTTAACACAAACGCTTTCATTTACTAATTGGTTCCAATTTCTACTTTGCTGTTTTTTTTTATCGCTCGTAAGCTACCGTCATTGAACTCAACACAGCACAGGTGTTTCACATAAAAAGCCTTTAACCTCCACAAACTAAGACAGAATCCAACAGTGAGCATGTTTGACATGGACACTCTCGGGCCCAGCGATGGACCTGTGGTGAATAAAAACTAAATCAACAGTACATTTCCTGCAACATCCCCTCCATGCAGACTTACGTTGGCGGCCGAATCCTCTGCAAGTTTAGTTCCTCCCTCATCCGGTAAATCCGGCGCCGTGGGGACTGAGACGGGCAGCAGAGGGGAGCGAGCCTTACCGGCCTGGCCCAGGGAGGCAGTCTTCACCTGGGGCTTCGAGAGGCTCGCAGCTGGGTAAGAAAAGAAAGAAAGAGTTATTGTTAGTTATTCAGACAGTTTAGACCAAAAATTAACCTGGTGCTCATCATTTAATACATTGCTTTGTTTTTTGACATTTGGTGTTCTCGTAAACGGTTCTAATTTAAAGGAAGATTATTTTTTACAACAGAAATCCTGAGCAAAAACAAATCAAACTTAAGTGTAATTGAAGTCGTGAGTTGAAAAACAAGTCAGAATAACTTCAGGTAGCCGAGACAGAACTGTGAGTGTAACACCCCCGTACAGTTGTCATAAAAGGGGTTATTAGCAACAGAGACCAGGCTTTGTTTAAAGTTGGGCATTGGTGGTCTATGATTAGCTTTCTTTTGGAGTCAGCACCAAGAGGCCATTTGAAGAAGTGCATATCTGGTGTGGGTCATACTCAAGCTAAAGGGTGCCTCTGTGCCTCGGTATTACATGCCGATAGGCGCTGACCAAGCTGCGGTATTTGACGAGTCGGGAGTGAGAACGAGTTGGACGAGAACAGTCTGATCTGATAACACATATTGATTAAATCTAAATGACAAGTTCACATGCAACTAAGTGGACCATTGACCAGTGAATAGACCCGAGGCCTGGGCCAGCTATCCAACCATCGTTTTCCAATTCACATTGTTCATTTAGCATCCATTCGTCTATTTCCTCATCTAGTAATCGCATGTTTCAAAATATACAGTGAGAACACAAGTCTATTTACACATTACATGAATATACAATAGAATGAGATGGTCTGTCAATTACAGTTAATCAACAACTGCCATTTACAGTAACATGTGGAAAAGAAGAATCCAGCCACACACATATTCAAACATCTACCTGCCGCTCCATACAGTCTTCAATTATGCTTCATTTATACATTTCCTAGAACTCAAAAATATATATACAACCCGGCTAATCAAATTGTAGAGAATTCCACAGTTTGACGCCGGCCACTGAGATACACATCTGCTTTAAAGTAATCCATGATGCTGACAATACAAATGTCCTTCTTTGATCCATCTCCTTTCACTAAATAACAAATACCAGATAAGTAACCCAAGAAGGGAACAACCGGACCAGACACAGAAGAGAACAAACAAAGTAACAAGAAAATAGATCAATAAATACATTCAACTGCCTTGTCTCCACAGCATTGGGAAGTCAAATTTAAGGATGCTTCTTTACAAAGTGAGACAGAAAGGGAAAGAGAAACAACATGGGACAGGAAAAATAGCAGACTGAAGAGGGATGTCTAGTTTTTTCTCCCCCTCCTCTCCGATTCCCTGAACACCCTCCTGATGCCTGAACACATCCTCAGGCTTCTGCTACCCACAATCCACTTCCCTCTTTTCCTGCACTGCACTCCTTCACTTCCTGATCAATAAACATCTATTCTCCCTTCCTGCAAAAATAAACACCTGGAACAGCCTCGATAGCGCCGGATCACTCCAGAGAACACAAAAAACAGTCGGATTAAAACGGCCTTTAACATGGAAAGTCTTCACGTCAAAGAAAAGACAACTTTGAATCCATTATAAACAAACTGAGCACAGAATATACATCTTACACAACAAATCCTGAACCCAAAAAGTGATTTCTGATCTATCACCTCTATGGTTAAGGTTTGGTAAAGTTGAGGAACATAAACTACTTTGTTAAAGGTTATAGACAGACTGTGGTCATGTCAGAGTTGTATTTGTCACAGTAATACATTCAATGTTTTAAGCACACATCTATGAAATCAGTATATCAGAAATAGTGTTAATGTAGTACAATTTAACATATAAACTGATTCAATGTATAACTTGGAAACATTTAAAGTTTAAAAAAAATACACTCTGGAAACTCCTGAAAATAATGGTGACAGTGAAAAACATGGCTGAACTGATGGGAAAAGTCTGGGACTTTCACTGACCCCATTAGGAAAGTGAAACTTGAGTGGGACCATACAAATATTACACCATTATTTCCAGGGCAACAAAGTAGGAGTTTAAAAAAAAAGGTGGAGCATTGGCTCCAGACGGAGGAACTATACCAAACAGTGTTCTGAGCAGGGTAATCGGTTGGACTCTGGGGTCTACTCGGGTTTGCTTCTTGCTCAAAGAATAAACTCTGTTGCATCGAACTCTGTCCGCTGCTCTGATTTCTTGCTGCTCCAATAGCAGTAAAATAACAGAATAGACTAGGTGTTGGAGCAGTAGTTAGAACTTCATCGACTGGCCAAGCTTGAGCTCCTGTTTTCATAAACTCAAGGGAAAAGAATCTGATGTTGGCTGGAGATAGAAAACAGGAAACAAATGGTGGTCTCAGGGGTCAAAATAAGACACTTTATCCACCCATCCAGTAAAACAAGATACATAGGAGTGGAAGGGACTTCTAAACGAAAAGAGCCCAACCTTTGTCTTGTACGTTTGTGTTTTACATAGTCAAGATGATCCAATCATTGATCAATAACTGCAAAACTGTCTGAATGTTTTTGGCTTTTCGACCAGATAGTCTAAGGAAGTTGTGCAACACACACAATGGGAGGCTCACAAATGTATTGACAGATATTCAAAGGTTCATTCTCAAAAACCTCAATAGAAGCTTTGAATGTAGAAGAAAGACATTTGGAACGGCCCTCGTGGTTCAGTCCGATCCACTCCAGTCAAAATGTCTGACAGGGAGAAAGTCTAACGCAGCCACCGGTCTGATGTTGGGCTCATTGATGGCTGGTTGCCTGGTTGGAGAAACAATTGAGCAATCAGGGCTTGTTTGGTGGGATTAAGAATTTTGATGTCATCAATGAGACAAACGCAGCTGTACGGGTAAGTCAACTTACAGACAAGAAAACTCTTCTTTTTCATGGATACATTAAAAGCAGCAAGAATAGCAACCACTGAAAATGCTGAAAAATTAAATGAATTGCTTCTGGCAACCACTAGCACATCTGGGTTGAGTGAAAATGATGCTGGCGAGACCGATACGTCCCCTCACTGCTGATTAGTTAGAACAAAACAAAACAACGTTTTGCAAGCCTTATGTTGGAAAGTTCAAGGTCACTAAAACAGGTTCTGAGATCCTGGTAAAAGTTCCTGCAGTTGAAAAGGACCAACTGACTTCCACGTGGTTACACATTTTAATTGCATAAGCTTGTGTGTCTAAACTTTGGTCCACTGGAATATCTGTCCTTCGAGGAGCGTCTTCACTGAAGAACAAGGATGGAGTTACGTTAGATGTCACTGATTTTACCCACAAACACTGTCCAGAAACCGTCTGCTTGCATAACCTCCTGCTGAGAGTAAAGATGTATTTCAAACTGTTGAATCATATCCTGCTTATATGCAAACAACATGACAAAATTGAAGTAAAAAAAATCTACCTTAGGATTCCAGCTGAGAACAGTGAAGACAAGTGCTAAGTATCTCTCTTCCAGCAATTCTTCCTCTACGAAGATAAAGTCCTCATCCGCTGTGATTTACCTGTACACTGACATAATCATATAACGGTATGTATGTATGTATTATACACTGATTACTGGTCTTCATGAAAATGCTTTGGGTTTTTTCTGGTGATAAGAAACATTGAAGTCCATTAACTACACAACCTGTGTACTTCACTGGTCTTGTTTCCTTGGCTTCTGTTCATCTCTTTGAAAATCAACTTAAGTGAGGGAGGGAGTCTACTTTTAGCCTTGCTCACTTGGCTGATGTTACTTACAATATAAGAAGGTAAGCAGTGGCAGAAGAGAACCTTTGATAGCTTGGCTAGCTACTCATCAACCTACTTTTAAGAAGGGGGGGGGGTAGGTGACCATTCAGCTCGATGGGAGGATTACGTCTTATGTGTTGGATCAAATTGTACAGATGTAGTTTACACCTCGTATTGATCTGATCAGAAAGTCAACCAGACCACCTTCAGATCTTTGCATCTTTTGCAACACGAGTAGTAAGAATCGCCGTTTATATTTTTTGTCGAGGCGGCAACCACCGGTTCTGAAAATTGAAGCCATTGCGGAAGTGCTTTAAACTTGCATTCTCTCTAGTGTCCATCAGGGGGCAACTCCTCTGGTTGTATAGAAGTCTATGAGAAAATCACTCTACTTCTCTCTTGATTTATTACCTCAGTAAACATTGTAAACATGAGTTTATGGTCTCAATCTCTAGTTTCAAGTCTTCTTCAATACAGCATGATGTTCATTTAGTAAACTATGGTCCATTTAGAGTCAAACAGACAATAAAGCAGAGTATGCTTTAGGGCGGGGCTACATTGTGATTGACAGGTTATAACCAGAGCAGTATACGGCATCTCTACGTCACTCCTCTGCAGTCCAAATATGGTCACTTCACTGTGGTTGCAAAAATTCAAGATGGCGACCACCAAAATGCAGAACTGAAGGCATCAGAACCATAGTCCACAAACCAATGGGTGAGGTCATGACGATTACGTCCATTTCTTACAGTCTATGCTTATAGCTTCGTTTTTCATCCATCCGAACTTCACTGTAGTGTGGAGCATCATGACCGTACAGGGGCGCCAGAGTCGCTCAAGACTGTCTCTGTATCGTTCAGTCCCAGTGGGCCTGTTTTACTCACAGTCGTACTGACCTTGTGTGACTTGTAATGTCTGTGAATGCAGTGTAGAGATCCCTGCCAGCTTCATTTTAAAAATGAAGCAGAACCAAATGTGTTTTTATGACTTCTCAGCACGCTGCTGTCAGACTGAATCCAGACCGAGCTGAGCTCCAGAAAAAAGACATTTTGTGGAAAAAAACCCCACAATGAGCTGCGGTAGTACAGAGACGAAGCAAAGGTTACACATCCACAGTGGAGAAAGAAATAAAATAGAGTTTCACGGTGCCTGACGCGCCCTCGGGGGGGATGTCGGAGAGGGATGGGGGCGGCGGCAGCTCGTCTGCTCAGAGAGGTGGATATATTTACCAGACAAGCAGGTGTGGAGGTGTGAAACGCCCGCCGGGGGTCACATCAGTGGTGTCTGTCTCTGTTCCTGGGTC